ACCAGGTTTGAGGAAATGAAAGGGAAAATTAAACAATTGAGCTGATGACCTTTACCCAAAAGAATTCAGGAAACCTATTATGGGTGGTAACAGATGGGGACAGAAATAAAGGGGATGCTTGGAAGAGAGAACCTAAAAAAGATGGATTTCAAGAGGTGCTAGATAACATAGTATGTCTATCTGAAACAGCACAGAGGAACAATGAGTTGAGCCCAGAGTTGAATGTGAGGAGAGCAGGCTGGATTGCTTTCAGAACATTTCAAAGCTCTTTGACTGACCTCAAGCTTCCCATGAAAATAAGGGCTCATCTTTTCAATGTTAACATTTCGTTGGTGTCGCTGTATGGCAGTGAGACATGAAATACCACTGCCTAAGAAAAAATCAGTTGTGTATCAGAGAAGAAAATGGGGAGGCAGATGATGGGTGTGAGCAGGTATGTATGTGCGTGTGTGTGTGTGTGTGTGTGTAGATATATATATACACACACACACACACACACACACACACACACACATGCATATATGTATATGTCCAACAAGGAATTCTGAAGAATAGGAGACTAGAACATCATCAAAGAATTTTATGATAGGAAGAAAAGATGGACTGGTCATGTGACAAGAGCAAGAAATGACAGATGGACAGCCCCAAGGCTCCCCTGGTAACCTCACAACGTCAGGAGAAACTAAGCATGTTGGGTGGACCCTCCAACCCCTGTGGAAAACTTTGGGGAGGAAACAGATGAGTGTTACGTAGAATGGACAGGCATGGGTAGAGTTGAGATTTGAATTGCTGGAAGAAAATGCCAAATCAATGAGATCACACATCTATTTGAGATTGGTAAAATAGCAAAGGAAAATAGAAAATTAGCTAGAGATGAACAACAGGTACAGCAAGAAGACAGAAAGAAGAATCAGAGAATGTTGCAGATAGAAGGGACCTCAAAGATCGTCTTGTCTAGCCATTTCATTTTATGGATGAATATGTAGAGGTCACAAGAGGTTGACTTGTCCAAGTTCTGACAGAAAGTGGAAGAAGCAGGATTAGCACCTATGTCTCCATCTCTCATTCCAGGACTCTTTCCACCCCACAGTTCTTGACAAGTATAATGTAAGACCAGCCAATGGGAGACCCAACTAGTCCTCCATTACAAATCTATGATCTTGCAGCAGGATCATACTGTTGAGGGCATCCCTATCCTCTCAGTCACTCAGGCTTGCCCATCTACTAAAAAAAATTATGAGTGCCAGTGAAGGATTCAGACTTTCCATCTGTTATCCCTCACTGTATGTGACAGACATATCTTTTTAAATCATATATCCTGAAATAAGTTGTGGTATAGAAATGCAGTGGAATACTATTATATTGTAAGAAATGAGGAAATAAATTATTTAAAAGACATAGATATGTGAACTGATACAGAGTGAAGTAAGCAGAATTAGGAGAACAATTTACACTATAACATTAATATTATAAAAAGGAACTATTTTGGAGACTTATAAAGTGATGAAGAATGAAATGAGCAGAACCAAGAGAACAATTTAGATAATAACAACACTTAAAAGGCAAATAACTTTGAAAGCTGTGAGAACTATGATCAAGACAATGACCATCCATGATTTCAGAGGATCAGTGCTGAAATATACTAACCACAGGTTAGTACAGAGAGGTGCAAAATACACACACACACACACACACACAAAACACACACACAAAACCATCTCCAGATAGAGACATATAGATGTCTCATTCTGTACCCTAAATCTATCATTATGTCTCTATTCATAATCTATAATTATATATCTGTATATGTTTCATTCTGTACTCTAATATATGATCTCATTCTTTACTATATATAATATATATATATATATTCTGCACCATATATACACATGTATGCATGTATGTATGTTTGTTTGTATGCAGCCAAAGAAAGAATTTGTTTTATTTGACTATGTATATTTGTAACAAGAATTTAGTCTTTCTTTTCTCTTTTTTTCAATGGGATGGGAGGTGGTAGGGAGGAAAAATAGGTGTTTCTCAATTAAGAAAACAAATTTAAAAATAGAGAGGTGCTATACATGTGGAACATTGCATGTGCTTTCAGATAAAGTCACTATATTTTTAGTTTTTACTGAATTGTTTTGCTTTGTTATAAAAGGGGGTGAATGTTTGTAATGTAAAAACAAAACACACCAATAAAACTTTTTTAAAGAATATCGCCTGGATATCTTTTTTGCTATTTCTTGTATATATCATTGTTAGTAATATCCTGTAGCCCATTTATGCCAACCATATATATCTCCATTGTCATTTGGGTTTCCCGAAATCTTTATTCTTTGGAGGTTGTGAAGTTCCATAATTCTCAACTCTATAACATCAGAAGAAGAATATAGGGGGTTTTTTTAATTAAAAAAAAAAGATTATCTTTTGTTTCAGGAGCAGTTGAAACTGCTGAGCAATTTCCAAAGCACAGTCCTGGCTGGAACAGAGTAGGAAATGGAGGGCTGAATGATGGGTATAAATAGGCAGCAGCATATCACCAACAATGATATACTCACAGCCCAACTCATTGTCTACGATGTCTGTCGAAGGTAGTGATAAACTAACTCTGTAGGAACACCATAACACTAATAGCACCAGATGTGCAGTTTATTGAATTCTGAAGACAAGGGAAGTGATGAAAAAGAAGGGAAGAGAAAACAAAGGAATGAAGATCTGAGTGCTGAACCCAGAATCAGAAGACATGAGCTTGAGTTTGACCCCTACTTAGGCACTTATTGCCTATGTAACCTTGGGAAAGTCTCTTCAGCTTTCTGGGACTCAGTTTCCTATTCTCTAAGGGGGTTAAGTTAAATGGTCTCTGATATCTACTCCAGCCTGGACATTCCGTGTTTATGAGGAAATGTGCAGGGAATGGGAGAAATTGTTAGAGTTGGAAAAAAGTTGTAAATAAAAATGTTATGTGTATATCTCGTTGTAAAAAAAGTTAAAAATGAATAGATGAAAGCTCATTTTTAAAGTTAAAAAAGCACTTTACCAATGTAAGATCTGGTGGGGTTTTTTGTTTTGTTTTTTGATAACACATAGGAGAATGCTGTGCATACTGTGGGCACTTAATATTACTCAATGAGGACCTTTTATACAGAGGCTCTCTGTAACCTGAAGGGAGGGTCTACAGTCAGCAAAAAGCCCCTTCTGCTCCCCATTCTCTAGCCATTCCAAAATTTGAGGTCATTCTAATCTGCCCTTCCTGTTCTTTCAGCTGTACAATGCAAGCTTCACTTTTAATGAACACCAGCATAATCTGGCACTCAGTAACAATTTTTACACTTTTAAGAGAAGCATAGGGGCAGCTCGGTAGGTAACACAGGTGGATAGAGCAGGGGCCTTGGAGTCAGGAGAACCTGCATTCAAATCCAGCCTCAGACACTAGCTGTCTGACTCTGGCCAAGTCACTTAACCCTGATTGTCTCTGAGAGACAGCACCAGGAGGCAAAATCTTTGAAGAGCTAGGAGATCTGGCTGTTTGAACCAGTCCCTGAGCAAGGAGGGGGGACGTTTGTCATTGAATTTGCAGACAAAAAGATCTGAGTCTCTGGGTTTGAATTTTTGCATAGCAATATAATTAAAATGTAAGAAGCCTTTAAATATTGACAGCTTCTTCAAGAGAGATTAAATAAGGACATGATAACTTGGTTTTCCCCCTGCCATTTTTTCTTTTTTTTCTTTCTTTTTGGTTGAGACTTACAATTTCATATGTGTGGATGACTTCCCCTAGGGAAATTCCCTCCATCGATGCACACTGGCAGCTTCTCTATAACTTAGCAGTATTAGAGAGAAGACTCAAGAGAGAATCAGTTACAGTTGTGATATGGTTAGAGATAGACAATCTGGTGTTAGGTAGAGTGTTAGTCAACCATTACAGGGATGGAAAAAATTGATTAGATAAAGGTAATCCCACTGTTAAAACAACTAATTTTTTCCTGTGTCTGAAAAATTACTTCTATAGGATCTGTACCTCAGCACATGTGGGCCCCACCCCCTCCCCACACTCCAGGACCCTCTAGCTTCTTCATGGCGGGGGCTGTTTCATGAAGATGAGATAAATCTACGTATGAGTGCTTAATAAATGGGTGAATAAGAAGAAACTGTATCCCTAGCCCAACTAGATGCTTAAATAAATGCATGAATGAGGGGAGACTGTATCTCCAGGCTTACTGGGTGCTTAATAAATGGGTGAATGAGAAGAAACTGTATCTCTAGCCCTACTAGGTGTTTAATACATGAATGAGGGAAGACTATCCCCAGTCCTACTGTTTAATAAGTGGGTGAACGAAGAGAAACTGTCTCCCCAGACCTACTAAGTGTTTAATAAAAGGGTGAATAAGAAGAAACTGCATCCCCAGCCCTACTAGGTGCTTCACAAATGCACGAACGAGGAAGGTGTGGAAATATACTTGCCCGTGGTCACACATAGCCAGGATGAAGCGGAGGGAGGATTTGAACCTGGGGCATGGCAGCTCTAGAGGCCGCTACCCTCCTCTCAAGCCAAGCCTGTCGCTCAGGAGCCAACCTTTCCACGAGCCACAGTCCCCGGCGCCGCTGCAGTCACCACCTCCTCTTCCTCCGCTCCCCCTCCCCCTCTCGGGCCTCCCCCTCCTCTTCCCCAGCCTTCCCGCCACCCCAGCCAGCTCCGCATTCCCTCCCCGCCCCCCTTTCTATTTATATCGCAGGCGGCCTCGGGGAGGCCCATATTGGGCAGTGTGAGTGTCTGGGCATGAGTGTGTCAGGCGGGGCTCCTGCAGCTGCCCCTGCGCCCCCGACCCGGTGAGCGCCCACCCCGGGCCGCGCCCCGCCCCCGGGAAGGTAGAGAGGTGAGGGAGGGAAGGGGAGGGGCAAGGTCCTGGAGTGGGGTGGGGGTGGGGAGTGGGGTGCATCGGGGAAGAGGCGGGGGGAACCGGGGCCACTGGTCCTTAGAGCTGAAGGGGCCTTACTTAGCATCTAGTCCAACCTGCTCACTTTGCCCAGAAGCCAATTGAGGTCCAGAAAGGGGAAGGGGCTGGCCCAATGTCATTACAGCCAGGTCCTTGGCTGCTGGACTCTTGAAACTACTTCTAGCTCCAGAGCCCATTTATTTTGCCTCACCAAGTTGCCAACGGTTTGTTGGGCACCGGTGACTGAAATAAGTCACTTCCTCATTCAGGAAAGGTATTTAGTCATGTCTAAGGATAATAGTGATAATAATAACAACAATTCACATTTCTATAGGGCCCTAGCTTTGCAAAGCCCTCCCAGTAAATGAAAAATCATTTATATATCCACTTACAATGTGCTAAGGAGCTCACACTCTAATTGGGAGGAGTGTCCCAAACATCTTAGTGCTAGTGTAGTTTTAAGAGTTTAAAATTGCAGGATAGATGTTTGGAATACATTGGAATATTAAAGAAAACTTGGCTGTAAGCAGACGGAAGAGCCTGGAAATCCTAAGGGAGCAGGTAGGGGCTGGTGGATGGTAATACTGGGATGTGCTTAAAATACAGGGTGTGTGTGTGTGTGTGTGTGTTTTCCCAGGGGTAATGGTGGGACGGAAAAACACTTTAGGTATGATGGGTGGTGGTTCCTGTGCAAAGGCAGGAAATGGATGTCTGATCCTGGAAATAACGAGGCTAGTTTGTCTGGAGAATATGACATAGGAGTGAATAATATGTAATCACAATGAGAAGCTGGACCAAAATTGTGAAGATTACAAAATGCCAAACCAAGGAATTTCCATTTTATCCTAAAGGCAATGGAAAAATCACTGAAGCTTCTTCAGCAGGGAGAGAACATGGTCAGACTTGTGCTTTACGAACATCAATTTGGCACTGTTGGGTCAATGTATTGAAGAAGTAAATAACTGGATTCAGGAAGGTCAGTTAAGAGGATATTGCAAAGCCCAGGCAAGAGGTGATGAGGACCTGAACTAGGCTGTTTATGTTGTGAGTAGACAGAGTGAGAAAAAGGTAAGAGAAGAGGTAGAATCTACTAGAATTGGCAGCTCATCAGAGTCAGAGAATGAGTGAGAGGATGACGCCAACGTCTTGAACATGAGGGACTGGAAGATGAATGTTACCCTCAACAAAATTAGGGAAGTTAGCAAGAAGGAGGCATCTAAGAGGAAAGATGATTAGTTCTATTTTAGAAATGTCGAGTTTGAAATGCCTGTGGAACAGCCAGGTAGAGATGTCCAGCAGGCAGTCTGAGATTCAATGTTACCACTTAGGAGAGAGATGAGGATTGTACAGGTAGATTTCTGTCATCTGCATAGAGATGGCTGTTGAACCTGTAGGAGCTGAGGAGATCACCAAGAAAGAGGGTGCAGAGAGAAAAAAGAAGATAGCCCAGGTCAGAACCCTGAGGGATACCAACACACAGGAGACTGGACACGGGTAATGGTCCTCCAAAGGCTACTAAGGAGCGTTAGTCCACAAGACAGGAAGAGAACTATGACAGAAGAATGTCCTTAGGAGAAGAGAATTCAGAAAAAAGAAACGGTCAAGAGTGCCACGTCCTGCAGAGAGGTACTGAAAGATGAGAACTGAGAAAAAGTCACTGGACTTTGTGGTAAATTGACCTTCAGTGACCTCAGAAAGAGCAGTTTCCATGGCATGGTAGTGACAAGCATCCTTGTAAGGAGTTAAGACAGAAGTCAGAGGTGGGAAAGTGAAGGCAAGAAATGTTGACAACTTCTTCTAGGAGCCTAACCAAAGGAGAGGAACTCCTGAGCTCTGGTCCCAAGTCCCTAGCCAGCTATTAGACATTTCTGACTGGGTGCCCCATAGCCATTTCAAACCCAGTAAGTCCAAAACAAAGCTCACTATCTTTCCCCTCAAACCCACTCTTCTTCTGGACTACCCTTTAACAGGGAGGTCACAACAATTAAGAAATCATTGTTAACTGGGAATGGAAGTTTCAATTGAATGCTGTGGTTAGGAACCAGACTGCAGAGGGTTTGATAATAATAACAATAATAATAGCTAATATTTCTATAGCACTTACTCTGTGCCAGGCACTGTGCTGAATGCTTTACAATTATTACGTCATATGGTCCTCGCAACAACCCTGGGAGGTAGATGCTTTTATTATCCCTCATTTTACAGACAAGAGAATTGAGGCAAGTGGAGGTGAAGATTATATAGCTAGCAAGTGTCAGAGGCTGGATTTGAACCTTCTTGACTCCAGCCCTGGTACTGTCTATCCACTATGGCAAAGAGGAATTGGAGGTACTAAGTGAAGAAGGCCTTCTAGAGGAGTTTGGCCATAGAATGAAGGAGCCCATAGGAGAGCGTGTGCAAATGTGTGGAGACGGGTGGTAGAATATGACGTGTGAAGGGCAGCAAACAGGTCAGTTGAGCAGCACTAGGGAATGTGTGAGGGGAATATTGTGTAACATGTCTAGAAAGACAGGCTCATCAGAACTCTTACCTTAGAGTCTGAGGACTCCGTCATCCTCCCAGGCACCCAGACCTACAACCTTGATGTCACTCTCAATTCCTCCTGTTGGTGCCCCCAGCTTCCTTCCAGATTCGGCTCATATCGGGGCAGCTAGGTGGCGCAGTGGATAGAGAACCAGCCCTGGATTCAGGAGGACCTGAGTCCAAATCCAGCCTCAGACACATAACACTTACTAGCTTTGTGACCCTGGGCAAGTCACTTAACCCCATTGCCTAGCCCCCCCCAAAAAAAAATAAAGTTTCAGCTCATAGCCCACCTTCTGCCAGAGGCCTTTTCCAGTCCCCCTCTTCATCCCCTCCCAATCAATCTCCTGCCCCTCCTGTGTATTTCTTGTATCTGCTAAGTTATTTACATGCCATTTCTTCCATTAGAATGCACGCTCATCTGCAAGGACTGTTTTCGCCTTACTTTCTATCTCTAGTGCTTAGCACAGAGCCTGACACATAGTAGGCATTTAATAAATGTCTGTTGACCAGCTGCCTCCCACGCCTGTAAGTCATTTCCTCCTCATCTTCTTCCCTCTTAGCATCCTTAGCCTCCTTTGAAGCTCAGTTTAACCACTGACCACTACAAGAGGCCTTTCCTAAGCCCCATAGCTGCTAGAAGGGGCAGTTAGGTGGTACCACAATACACAGAGCGCCAGACCTGGAGTCAGAAAGAGTCATCTTCCTAAGTTCAAATCCAGCCTCAGACACTTACTTACTGTGTGACCCTGGGTAAGTCACTTAACCCTGTTTGCCTCGGTTTCTTCATCTGTAAAATGAGCTGGAGAAGGAAAAGGCAAATATCTCCAGTATCTTTGCCAAAAAAACTCCAAATGGGGTTAGAGTCAGACACAACTGAACAGCAGCTACTAGAGCCTCCCCTGCCTCCCCCAAATTACCTTATATTATTTTCCTTGTATATGCAGGGTGTTCCAAAAGTCTTCGTGGAGTTTTAAGCTGTAATTGCTCAAAACTGGGGCTTTAGGACATCCTGTATTATGCATGCACTTATGTCTGTACATGTTGTCTTTCCCAATGAGATCCTTGAGGACAGAGACTGAATCATTTTCATCTTTGTATCCTCAGCATCAACAGAATAAAGTGTCAACACAGACTATGTATATAATTAGGGGGAGGGAAAGGAAAGGGGACAAGTATTTATTAAGCACTTATTGTGTTCCAGGCACTGTGCTAAGCACTTCACAAATATCTCATTTGAGAATCACAACAACCCTAAGAGATATAATTATTCCCAACTTACAGATGAGGAAACTGAGGCCAACAGAGGTTAAGTGACCTGCCCAGGGTCACACAACTATTAAGTATCTGAGGTTGGATTTGAACTCAGGCCTCCCTAACTCCAGTGCTCTGTACACTGCCCCACCTACAGCACTGAGACAGGAAGGCAGCTACATGAAGCATTGACCATGACTTTCATATATAGTAAAGATCACCAGTGATAGAGATCTAATCCTACAAAATGCAAACCTACAAAATAAGCAAAAGCTGTCCAACAGCTATATATTCCTTGTCTTGTATTTGACAAGGCAGTAGGATAATAACATTGATTTAAAAAAAAATAACGGCTGAATTCCAAGGTAAATTCAACAAGAACGCACTGTGCTCTAAACCATTACAGATGTTTGGCTATGGCCACCTTGTCCTACAGGGCCTATGCTGTAATTAGTGATTGTGTGCTATAAACACTACTCTAACCAATGATGCTCTAACTTCCTCCACTAAAGCCCCACTCATAAACTTAGGTTACTCTGACTCTTCCAAGGCTGTGCCAGTAGAATGCAACCTTGGTAGGGCATACCTGTTGGCTATGAGCCCAGTGATGACTTTTGGTCTCTTTTCAGAGAGCCAATCCAACTAAGTCTGAAGATGTTCACCACCATTGACTTCGGGGTAATAAATGTTTCAGCCTCATCTACTCTTAAGACCACCTACAATCATAGAAGGGTTGTGGTCCTGCATCAATGAAGGGAATGGCCATGCCAATGACATTTCATGCTAATATCGTGCAAGTGTCATGCCAATGACATTTCAAAGTATTGAAATAACTGAACTATGATATGAAAAAATGGAACCTAATAGCTACTTTCAAAGGAAAAATTAAATTCGCTGTCAATGGAAAAATAGCTGTACTTTCTGCAAAACAGCAGTGGAGTCTGTTGGAGGCTCAGCAAGGTTGAGGGCTGAGGCAAAGCTAAAGTTAATTGAAGCAAGGTGAAGATGGAAACTCTGAGGGCAATTTCCCCACACCCACCTTGACCTCTTCTCTCCCCATTAATGGATGTATTGGCATTTTTTATGCAGCTAAATCCAGATGAGTGGGAATAATGAATCCTCTGAAGTGGTCAATTGTATTTGAATTCACGCTATTTTAAGTTATAATTATGTAAAATACGGTAATTAGTTCCAGCCCAATGATTATGCGGTGCAAATTCAAATAACTTCAGGAAAGCCTAGCTATGTCAGTCAACTAGCATTTATGAAAAGTAACTACTACAGTACAAGGCACTGAGTGTTGGAGGTACCAAAAAAGGCAAAAGAAAACAAAAGGCCCTGCTTTCCAAGAGTTCGCAGTCTAATGGGGAAAACAATAGATAAACAACTATGTATGAACAATGTCTGCAGGACAAATCGGAGAGGGGGCGTAATTCAGAGGAGAGGAAGATTGGAAAAGGTTCCTTGCAGGCTTTATCTGAGACCTGAAGGAAGCCAGAGAAGCTGGGAGGTCGAGATGGGGAGGGAAAGGGTTCCAAGCATGGGGAAGCAGCCAGTGAAAAGACTTAAGAATCAGGAGATGGGCTGTCCTGTGGAACAGCCAGGAGGCCAATATCACTGGATCAAAGAGTATGTGTTAGGGGAAAAGGTGGAAGAAGACTGGGAAGATAGGAAGGGGCCAGGTCATGAAGGGCTTTGAAAACCAGAGGGTTTTATATTTGATCTTGGAGGTAAGAGGGAAGTTCTGAACTTTATTTATGGGGGGATATGGGGGTGATACCGCC